TTCTATTATATAAATTTTAGGGTAAATTACACAAACAAATAGTCCCTGTAGTTTGGTAGTTTCAAAGATCGTATAAATTGATTAAATTTCAACTTCATTCATTGTTTTTTTAATAAAAAAGCTTTTACATTTTTTTTTATATTTCTTTTGATTTGGCATTTTTAACACGTTTGTTAGTAATATTTCAGTTTTACACAATTTTTTCCCCAAAACCCTTAATATATATTTTTTTTTTTTTGTTTTTCAAAAAAACCTTCGCATAGGCAAACAAATTTTGTTTAAATAAACTTTTTTTGTGTTGGTTCACAAATGTTGTTTTTCATGTTGTTGCTGTATATGGTGTTAGTAGTTTTAAATATTAAAATTTGAAGGGTACATTTGATTTTTATCAAAACAAATAGAACGGTTGTTTTGTTCAATTTTGTTGATAAAATACCTATATCAACATCTATATACAAGATGCTCAAAAATTGTAGCAAATGAAGAACAATAGTCTAAGTTGATTTGGTATCTTAGATCATTTAGACTTTAAAATGCACCTCTCTTTGATTTTTAAAATAAAATAAGTTGACAAGCTAGCTTAGACCATTGGTCTTTACCTATTACAATCTCTGAGTATTATGTAAATAGAATTTGATATGTATTTTCCCAACAAAAATCAAATATGTGTTTATGTATTTGGTCAACAAGAATCGGACATATCGAGCCAGCTTAGGGCGCTTGTCTTCACTTGCTATAATCCCCAAACCCCTAACGTGAGCAAAAACCGCACCGCAACTAAAATTAACCGCATAAACCGTAACTGCAATAAAAACCAATGGTGAAGTTTTTTGTTTTTCAAAAATCGCAAATTTGCGGTACGGTGCGGTTATTAGTTTTCAAAAACCGCAAAAAAACCGCACTGCACCGCATATATTATATACAACTTTTTTTTTATTAATTATTAATATATTAAATATTAAAAATAAGACAAGTTTCATTAATGAAAAGATGAATAAAATACTAGAAGACAAAAGTGTTGGTTTTTTATTATGTTTAACTTTGAAAAATAGTGAAATTAGGCAATTTTAAGAAATTTATTGTTAATTACTATTGATTTGACGTTTTTAAGATATTAATTGTTTGTGATTTAAGTTAGTTGTCTTATACCTTATGGTTTTTTATATTATTACAAGTAATATGTTTGAACTTTTAAAACCGTTTGAGCTCTAAACTGTGGTTAAAAACCACACAAAATAACAACACTAAATCTATACGGTTAATAATCGCAACACAGAAAAAAACAAAACCGCACCGCAAAAATAACCGCACCAAGCGGTTTTGAAAATGGATTAACCGTATTTGCGGTTAGTGGTGAGGTTTTGGCTAATAACTGCACCGAACCACACCGCGCTCACCCCTAATCATAAGCACTAATCACTAAGCTCTAAGTTGTAAACCCTAAACACCTATAATTGCTTAGCCATAACTCATAATCCCTAAGCCTTAAGCCCTAAACCTTAAGACCATAAGCCATAAGCCATAAGCCATATGTCATATGCCATACACCATAAGCTCTAAGCTATAAGATATAAGTCCTAAGCCTTAATCCTTAAGCCTTAAGCCCTAAACTCCAATCCATAAGACATAAACTCTAAGCCCTAAACCAAAAGCCCTATGTCATAAGCCATAAGAAATAAGCCCCAAGTCATAAATCATACACTATATGTTATAAGTCATAAACATTGAGTCTTAAACTCTTAGCTCTAAGCTATAACTAGGTGTGATCTAAGATACCAAGCCTACATAGACCGTTGTCTAAGATACCAAGTCACTTCAAATTGTTGTTCTTTACCTACTACAACCTCCAAGTATCATTTAAATAAATTTTGATATGTATTTTGCCAAACAAAATGAGACACAACATCCTTTCCTTTTGTTTTCAAAACATCAAATGTCTCCTTAAATTTTAATGTTAATAAACACTATCATTAACACAATAAACACAACTAACATAAATAACAAAGGAGTTGTGAGTCAAAACAAAAGGTTTGCTAAACGTGAGGGATATTTCAAAAAGAAGACTGACTAGGGATGTCAACGGGGGCAAACACGACAGGGAGTGCATCCTCTGCCCCCGCCCCCGTTCCCGCCCCCGAAATTTCACCGTTCCCCCGCCCTCGAAATCTCCAACATTTCTATCCCCGCTCCCCGCCCCCGAATCCCCCTTATTATCCTCGTCCCTGCCTTTGATTGATTTTGGGCTACCTATTTTTAGGCTAAAAGAAACTTTTTTTAGGTAACAAATATTTATTTATAGCAAAATTTTACATGTTAAAAACAAAAAAAAGTTATGACATGTTAAAAACATTATAGTAACAACTTAAAAACATATTTTTTTGTTGAATTTTGGAAGCTCAAAATTATGTTATTGTTTATTATGTTTTTATAATTAATATATGTAAATATATGTATAACTTATTAGCGGGGGCCCCATGGGGTTTCGGGTTGAGACTACCCACCCCCGCCCCCGCCCACAAAATTAAAATGGGGTTAATCTTGCCCCCGCCCCCGATTTTTTTTAATAAATACCCCAAACGGGAAGGCCCCCCATGGAAACGATGTTTCATTGAACTTTTTGACATCCCTAAGATTGACAACTTTTTTTAAAAAAAAAGTTGATTTTTTTTTTTATAATTTTTTTAATAAAAAATTATGTAAAGCAAAATGATTACTAATATACATGCTAAATTGTCACATCTAAATAGTCACTTCTCTAAAGCATGATGATAGATGAAGTTGGTACGTCACTTTTGCCCTTCATTTATTCAAGCTGGTACAGTCACATCTAAAAAAAGTTGGTATGTTCACTTTTGCCCTTCATTTATTCAACTTGCATTTTTAGCCCTTGGAGCTGGTATGCGGGGCGTACCACTTGGTACACTTAACGTATTGGATAGAGATGGATCGGGACACCAGGTGCGTACGTTGGGCGTACGCTTGATTTCTAGAAACCTTAAAGTGGGGTGTTGCAACCTATATATTCATCCTTAACCTTTAGGGTTGGCCACATTTTTTGACCCTAAACCTCCAGAAAACCCTAATCGTCCCCTTAGCCTCCATTCTTGCATTTTTGAGCTCTTGAAGAAAATTTTATGTTGATTTGGTCCATCTTTGTAGAACATTGAGTGAAGTTCATAGCTTGGTAGGAGACTTGAGATCCAAAACCCTTCATCACATTGCAAGCTTCCTAAGGTATCAAGTTAAAACCTTGACTTGTCAATGTCTAGTTTTTCTTTATGGGTTGATTTAACACACTTTTGGTTCCTTTTGCATGGATTGATGGTTTGGGATGATTTGAAGGGATCATTTCATTAGATCTGACCTTGATAGAGGCTTCCTTGGCATAAAGGTGCCAAGTTTATGGGGTATTATTCATCATTCATGCATTAAACCATTTATTAAGTCAGTTCTAAGCTTAATAGATTCATTTAGCCATGCATGAACATAAAGTTAGCAACTTTACATGTTATTCCAGCTCAATTAAGGAAGTCATATCTATGTTTTGGGGCTTTATCTTAAATTATTAAGAGCTTAATGGGAAATATGGGTTAGCAGGGGAGTACGCTGGGCGTACAAGCCAGTACGCGCAATGTACAAACCTCAATGCGAGTACGCTTAGCGTACAACTGCGTACTCAGTCTGTGGGCTTTGCAGTTTTAGGCTTCAAGTTTGGGTCACCTTTTTGGGCTTGGATGCTTAGAGTTTCTGTGGGATTCAATTGTGTGAGGTGATTTTTCCTCACTGTACTTGCAGGTTGAAGGCACCTTTTCCGGCCTATTGGAATGATATCCTGCTATACATGCTTTTGTGTTGTTGAGATCTGTAGATCGGTATCCTAGTAGATAGGATGTTGTTATGCTGTAGTGATCTGTTAGATTGGTATCCTGGTAGATAGGATGATCTTATGCTTAGTGATCTGTAAGATTTGTCTGTTTGTTGGCTGGTTAATGGTATGCTTATATGTTATATGTGCACATGTTTGGTCGTTGGCTGAGGCTTCACTGCTTTGTGCGTAAGCAAATAGGCCGGGACATTCCAACCCGATGGTTGATGGGACTGGGGTATTCTAACCCGATAGTTGGTTGGACCTATAGTATGCTGTTAATGTACTTTGGGGGAATTTACTAAACTTTAGGCTTACGGTTTTGGATTATGTTTCAGGTACTTCAGATGATCGCGAGAAGACAAAGATGTGATCGTGCACCTCCTCGTGTTGTGTTTTGTGATTTTGGGAAAAACTCTGATACTGAACATGTTTTGAAAACTACATTGTACACAATTATGATTTTTGGTTGGTTTGAAAAAATTTATTTTTTTTTATGAATTTTATGGATGTTACAGATTTTGTTTGAAGGCATCCGTTGCATCGTGAAAGTGAATATTTCCATAATTCTAGAAGGTATATCTTTTGAATTTGTAGGGCAAGTGGGAATAAACTCCATAACACTATTAATATTCGTGGCGTCTCCAACTGTTCAACCATTAAGATTTCTTTTTTGTATGTTTGATCTCTGTTTTGTAAGAAAACATAATTTGCAAATAAGACCTTGTATGTTTGACTCCAATAGAAGAAATAAAAAAGAAAAACATAATTTGAACCGTTGTGTGTTTGACTTTTTTTTTGGTAGTTAGTATATGATCCTTTGTATGTTTGACTTCTTTTTTGTAGCTAGTATTTTTGCTTTTATAAAACCTTTGTTTGTTCGAAAAATAAGTATTCTACAAAAGTAATTTGTAAATAATACCTGGTAATGGTGACTTTATTAAATCATTTTGCGAATTCAAAGATATTTTTCCAAAATGCATTTTATAAAGCATATGGTTATTTTGTAATATATTCCTAAAAGAATTGGCAATTTCATGGTATATGATAGATTCCTTCAAAAATTGGCAATTTCATGTTATGTCACTTTTTTATTATAATGATTTACTTATTTGTTAATTGTTAGTTGTTAATACTTTTGTTACACCAACTCCGTTGTGATTGTTAACTACTTGACTTTGCTCTTAAAAAATTGCAGTGATCAAAATAGGGAAGTGTTAAAGTTAAGGGACTAAGGTTGTAAATAATCCAAACCAACAGCCAAAAACAACCAAACTGTCAACTATCAGTAGGCGGAGCTGATCGATCATCGGCTGCTAAATCTATTTACTATAGGAAACCACCACCATCATCGCCGCCGCCGCCGCTGTCGCCGTGCATCCGCCACCAGCAGTGTATGATTGATTTCGTCAGCTCCGATGTCGCTCTTGAACCAAATCTTCAATAGGGGACTTATTGGCGCAAAATGGTCAGTTAGTCGACCCTCTTTCCCAATTCTTAATTCCTAAAGATTCTCGCAATTTACCTTAGGTTTTCCATTTTTATGTCAACTCCAATTTCTTGCATACGTACCCTCAAAATTTCTGATGTTCTTTCGATCATCGAATCTGAAAATCCAAGCCCAGAATCTGTTCTATTTTTACGATCAAGTTCAAAATTTACGGACACGTTCCGACTTTTATGGTCAATAATTTCACCTCCCGAATCCAAAATTGATCTGGATTTATCTCAGATCTAATAAATGAAGAATCTTATAGTAATCGATGAACTAGAATAGCATAAAAATGGCTTCAATTTTTCGAAGTAAGAACACAATCAAGAGATTTTGTATACATTTCATGAACAACTGCCGATATTGGGTGTTATTGCAGTAAAACATGCCTAACTTTGGCAATATCACGGATTAAATTACTTCAAAATAAGAGAGACATGCAATTGAAGCTTATGCGCAAGGAAATAGCACAATTTCTTCAATCTGGGCAAGAACCAATTGCTAGAATACGGGTATGTTCATAACTTTTTGTTAAATTTTTTCGGTTTTCACCTTTCGTGTTAAGAAATTGATTCTAATCTTTTAGGTGGAACATGTTATAAGAGAACAAAATATATGGGCTGCATATGAGATCTTGGAAATGTTCTGTGAGTTTGTTCTTGCAAGAGTTCCAATTATCGAAAGCCAGAGGTAAAATTACATTTATGCATGTCAACTATGATTAGGTTAACTCGAAAGAAGACTAATTGTTTTCCAAATGAATGTGAAAATTGTTTAATTGTGAATTGAATTGCTCATATAAACAAAATTATGAATCGAACAATCTGTGAAAGTTTTCCACTTTTCCAGTTTGTTAACCATAATCATTGAATTTACAAACACTTGCATTTGTATTGTTTATAACAAGGGTAAAATAGTCATTTTGACTCGTCCAGACGGTTTAAAAAACAAAGTTAACTTTATATATACAACACTTTATCCGGATAAACATCATTACACATTCAGCCACTTTACCCTTAGGATTGAATGAACTCTGTGAGTGAGTAAATGACCATTTTACCCTTTTTGTTTAAAACAGGGAATGTCCATTGGAATTGAAGGAAGCAGTTGCAAGCATAATCTTTGCATCTCCAAGATGCTCAGATTTACCAGATTTATTAACTGTTAGAAATTTATTTACCACAAAATATGGAAAAGATTTCATATCAGCTGCTTCTGAGCTTCGCCCTGATACTAGTGTCAATCGTACAGTTAATACAATCTACTTTTCATTATTTATTTATTTAAACACTTTCTTATACATAATACCATATATGCCAAAAATGATTTATATTTAATTTTCCGTTTGTTTTAGATAATTGAAAAACTTTCCGTTTATACCCCTTCGGGTGACATGAAGCTTAGTGTCTTGAAGGAAATCGCTCAAGAGTACAATATCTCATGGGATTCTTCTAAAACCGAAGCTGAATTCAACAAAAGGCCTGAGGATCTTTTGGTAATTTCATCTTTCTCTAATGTGTTTCTTAAAATTATTTAGATTAAGATAGTGTTTGGTATGCAGTAATCTTCAATAGCTATAATGTTATAAAAAAGTTTAATCTCATAAAAGGCGTTATATTTTGTGTTTTTTCCGGATCAAACCTCAAGTTTTTTTTTGCTTGATAAAGACCTTGTATTTTTTCATTTTTCCCGATCTGGCCCTTTTAGTCATTTTTTTTCCAAAAAAATTGTAAAATGTGAGGGTTTTTTCGAGAAAAACTACAAAAGTTGAGGGTTTATTTGGAAGCATTTAGAAGGTTGAGGGGTTTTTTTTGGAAAAAAAATACAAAGTTGAAGGCTTTTTCGGAAAAAATGAAAAAAATACAAGGTCTTTATCAGGCAAAAAATAAATGTGAGGTTTAATCCGGAAAAAACACAAAATATAAGGTCTTTTACGAGATTAACCCTTATAAAAAATTTCAAAACTTCAATAATTTTTTCTAATTTTCCAAAGAAATAAAAATAGTTTTTTCTTATAATTGATTCCATGGTGTTTACATTTTTTTTTGCAAACAATATTTTAAATGATAAATAATTTATTTCGACTATTTGAAATACATGTAGTATATATTTCAAAGGACATGGAACATGTGTATATCTTTATTTAATTAAAGTTTATTTTTATGAAAGTAACGATTTTTCTTCATTTATCAAATTAACTTTATTCGTTCTTCTAATTATACATAACGAGAAATGTCTTAATGAGTCAAGCCAACCAAACATTACAATCAAATGTAATGATCTATTCCATTACTTATCTGATTCCATTCCATTCATTTGTGATTCCATTCCATCATACCAAACAAACAGATTCTTAACGAGTTAATAAAATAATATTTAAAATGTTAATTTGTAGAATGGACCAAAGCAAATATCAAATGTGACTACAATTACAAAACTCCCCCAAAGTCATAAAGAATCTCCTAAAGCTGCAAATCATGTCCCCATTAAACCTCCAACAAATGCTGCAAACTCAAATCCCACCAAAGTAAATCAATCATCAGTGGAGGGTAAAATGGTAATTCCGGTTTCATCAGAATCAAATGATGTCTTGGAGAGAGCTCGAGCTGCCATTGCTGCTGCCGATCGCGCATCGGCTGCTGCTCGGGCTGCTGCTGAATTGGTTAATGTTAATTTTAACTCGTGTACGTTACAAGGGGCAAATAGGTAATTATACTTAAGTTTATGATGACAAAATGTAAACTTTTTTTTTTTTTTTTTTTTTTTTTTTTTTTTTTCTTTTTCTTTTTCTTTTTTGTTTGATGTGGAATGAATGTCGAGTGGTTTTGTACTTTTGTTTTGATAGATGGGAATGAAAAGTTTGATAACATTTTATTTGCTAAAGTTGTGAAAATGGACTTGTTAATAAAGATATAACAAAAAATATTGGGGTTCTACTTTCTTTTTTGAATTTTTATCATATACTTTGGAATCTTTACTTGCTTTTCAAGCAAGTCCTATTTAACGAGGTAAGTGGAGAGAAAGAGAGGAGAATCAGTGAGAAAGATGTATTTTAAATTGGTCATCTTGACTGCTATTATTTTATATATATATATATATATATATATATATATATATATATATATATATATATATATATAAAACGTATAATAAAGATAATAACCATTTTTTCTGGCTTGTCCTGGACATTTGAAGATATTTAAATCTTCAGGACCGGTCCTGATTGTTATACTCTTAATTATATGAGATTATACTATAAAAAGTAAAAGATTCAGAATAAATAATAATATTTATATGATAAATTTAATAAATATCAACTAAAATAAATAAATAAATAAAAATATTTTTTTTATTATTTACTAGATAAAAAAATTTAAATACTTATTTAAGCCATATATTAATTAGGAGATCATGGACTAACAATATTGGTAGGTCTTTGGAACCCTAAACCAAGATAATAAGATTGAAAATTTTGGTAGGAAGGTAAAAAATCTTTTATATACATATATATTGGTTTGTTTATCTTTAAAAATTATGATTGTTTTAATGATTTTTAAAAAGTGATTCACATAATACCATATGACAAATATCATTTATCTCTAATTTTTGTTTGTTTTAGATAATTGAAAAACTTTCCGGTTATACCCCTTCGGGTGACATGAAGCTCAATGTCTTGAAGGAAATCGTTTAAGGCTATGTTTGGCACGCCACAACTAGCTAAGAAGCTAGCTTGTTTTTTGAGCTTTTTTATGTTGTTGTGTTTGGTAAGCCAAAAAGTAGCTTATAAGCTAACTTTTCGAAAAGCTACTTAGACTAGTTTTTTAGGAGTTTTTTTCTTAAAATTTTCCAAATATACCCCTTAATTAATTATAGAAACACATATTCTTACATGTCCTTTTATGTAATTTGATATATTTCAGCTAGCTTTTCAGCCAATTTTACCAAACATTATTTTTTATCAGCTAGTTTTTCAACTTTCAGCTAGTTTTTCAGCTATCAGTCAACTTTTCAGCTAACAACTAGCTTTTCAGTTAATACGCCAAACATAATCTAAGAGTACAATCTCATGGGATTCTTCTAAAACCGAAAACAAAAAGCGAGAGGATCTTTTGGTACTTTCATCTTTCTCTCATGTGTTTCTGAAATAAAATGATATATTATTATTATAAAGTTCTTAATGTTATAAAAAATGGGTTAATCTAAAAAAAATCTTACATTTTGTGTTTTTTCTGAACTAAACCTCAAATTTTTTTTGCATGTTGTAGTTTTTCATTTTTTTTCGATCCGGCCATTTTAGTCATTTTTTCTCCAAAAAATTATAAAATGTTAGAGTTTTTCTTCGAGAAAAACTAAAAAAGTTGAGGGTTTATTTGGAAGCATTTAGAAGGTTGATGAAAATGTGACTACAAAACTCCCCAAAAATTATAAAGAATCCTCTAAAGCTGCAAATCATGTTCCCATTAAACCTCCAACAAATGCTGCAAACTCAAATCGTACAAAAGTAAAAGAATCATTAGTTAAGGGTAAAATGTAATTCCGGTTTCATCAGAATCACATGATGTTTTGGAGAGAGCTTGAGTTGCCATTGCTGCTGCGGATCGTGCATCGACTGCTGCTAAATTGGTTAATGTTAATTTTAATTCGCTTACATTAGAAGAGGCAAATAGGTAAGTATACAATTTATACTTAAGTTTATGATGACAAAATGTATTTTTTTTTCTTTTCCTTTTTTTTTTGTTTGATGTGGAATGAATGCGAATGATTTTGTTTGATAGATGGGGAATGAAAAATTTGATTAGATTTTATTTGCTAAAGTTGTGAAAATTGACTTGTTAATAAAGATATATACAACAAAAAATATTAGGATTCTACTTCTTTTTTATATTTTTAATTATATATTTTGGAATCTTTCACATGCTTTTCAAACAATATGTACCATGTGGATTGTCCACACAAAGCGAACACTTTTGGATAATTTTTGTTTTGAAATTTGAACAATTATTTATAACATAAGATTGATTCTAATTCATGTTTCGTGTCAGGAAGAATGAATGGACACCTGATCACTTATCTTAGGGCCGACATCTGATCTGATTAGAGTTTGACAGTGTCTTTGGAAAACACAGTTTACCTGTTATTCTGAGTTATGCTGACAATTTTAGTTAACGACTTATCCAAGTGGGAGACTGTTGGATTAAGTGTCTAAGGTCTTAACTAAATTGGTATAATATTAAAGAATAAAAGTAAAGACCTTTTTCGATTGTCCTCATAACCATGAAATGGCTTGGATTAATAGTCGGAGAGATACAAATGATTTGTTAATATATTATATGATTAATATATTGATTATAAATAGTGTAATTAATTAAAGAATGAATCACAATCAATTCGAAATTAAATTTGGGTTAATTAGAATTAATTAGAGGTACAATGGCTAGAATGCAATTGTTCAATAGTTGAGCAAAATAGACAATCCAGAACCTTCTAAGAGGTGGATGGTTTTGAGGAGCCTCTTTAGGGTTTGCGGAAGCCTCCAACACGGATAAGGAAACAAAATTTGAATAGGGATAAAATACTATTATTTTATTATTAAAATTTAGGGTTACTAGGTTATTTGACAAGTATAAATAGGGCGTCTCCTAGCCAAATTCGTTCCTCACCTTTCATACATCAAGAAATTAGATTTCTCATCTCCCCTCTCTCTTATATCTAATCTTAAAGTTCCTAGGGTTTTGGGTGTTACGCAGTCGAGACTACCACACAATTAGAGCCTATTTTCCAAGGAGATATTCAAGTGTTTGACTAGCTTAATTCGAATTAATCAAAAGGTTTGTTCTCTACTTGTGATTTTTGATTTTCATAGATATTAGTTTAGTTTTATAAAGTATGTTGCTATTAAGAGTGAAAATCCATAGATCTTGTTTTAGATTGCATGTACCCTTATATGTTAAGTGAAATTCCGCAAGTGCAATGTAATTGTAACCTAAAAATCCTAATAACAACATGTGTCCTCACATGTTTAATTAAAACATCATTGTCGAACTAAGACTACAATCACTCACTCTAATACTATAAGAGAGGTTTAAGTAGGTCTCTATAATTCTGAATGAGGTTGGTTTTTAAAAGCATCATTGCTTACAAACCTCACCGACTTTTTGTATTTTGAGAGAGGAGTTACCGAAAAGGTTCGATGGGATTTTATTTCAAGATTAAAAGTGTTAATAAAAATAATAAAACAAAATTCTCATTTTATATATTAAAAACATGAGTCATGTGTTACCTATGAAAACACACATATTGTTTATATTTTGATGATGAAGCATGTGTGGTTAACCAACACATCACTGCAAAAATATAAGTCAATATGATGTGTCACTCGTATAATTATTCTGTTGATTGAGCATGTATGGTTAACCGACACATCAATATAAGAGTAATTTAAGTCGAGGATCACATAGTTTTGCATGGTTGATTCACCATCTATTTAATGATCCACAACATCCTCATCACTGAATTGAGAGGAACATAATATGAGATTAATATGCCATTAAATGTCAATGAATCTCAAATGATCCAGGAGTTTCAAAAGAATGATAGTGGCAAAGTGTATTGCCTACCTAAATAACTTTGTTGTGTGTTTACATCATCCCTTTACACATAGCAAAGACAAATATGGACCCTTGCCTTAGTAAATAATTAATTAGGGTTAAAAATTATTTTAAGGATTAATAAGACAAACAAAATGTTATTGATATTGAAAGATGTCTATAAGATAATCCCCTTGAATCTACTGCTATAAAGCCTCTAAAACGGATTAGCTGGAAAGATGATCAATCTAGTCTAAAATTCATAGTTTGAGAATAATTCTCATAAACAAATAAAAAGATCATGATTTGGATAAAGCTCTTCCCAAGGTTCATCCAACTACTACATTGTAAAACTATTAGAACACTTATCTAGCATACTAATGAAATAAATTGGAATTTCATTATGTTAGAAGCTGACTATGGTCATCATAATCAACTAACTGACATCACATAATCAGTTCTCTCTTATTTTAATATGAACCACTTGAAATGTCCATGAAAGGGATGAATATCGGTTGGAGTTAGTTCAACTAATGGACCGTTTAGATTGACCACAATACATACTGAATCAAATACATCCAAAATTTTAGATAAAATGTATTTGTGGAGTTGTTATCTTGAACATATAAACAAGAAATGCATTACCAAGTATTAAGTTAGATCGGATTTTGGATATCATTTGACTGTAAGTCTTATGATAAATGCAAATATTGTTTATCAAGATAGATGACATTTGCATCACTAGATGATGTGAATATTTGTTGGAATTAGTTCACACTATATATTGTTTAGATTAGCCACAATGCATTGTAAGAACAACTTCGAAAGAATGAGTATTGAGTCTGAAACCTTTCAGGTGCTCAGAGCTTTCATAAAATGGAGTTTAGAATCAATTGGGCAAAAAGGATGACATGTTCAAATCCAGTAAGGATAATGAGCATCTTAGTCAAATCATTTTCGATTATTTAAGTAATTATGAAATGGTTTCATAAGCTGTCTCTGGCCAAAACATTTCCATAAGGAGTATAGTTGGATAGAGAAACAAATCGTTGGTTGATTTGGTACTTGATGAGTCATACTATGGTTACCAACATTTCATGGATTATACCATGAATAGTGTTGCATGAGTTCTAGTCGTGTACCAACTAAGAAGGTTTAAGAAACACTCTCTGAGATGTGGAGTACGTGTTCATCCCTTACTAGTACATGTGAAAGTCTACAATTATGAGTCTTATGCTCGTCATGAAAGCACTCGACAATCTAGGACTTCAATTTAGAGAAGTGTTATCTTGTTAGACATCCCAACCAATGTTTTGGATAAATGTTTTACAAATCTTTTGAGAACAAAATATTTTATGCTCAAAGGAAAGTCTTCCAAGAGAGGGAGCTGATATCCAAAAGGGCTAGTAGGAGCCACACTGATATTTATAAGATTCAAGAGTCAACCAATGAAGAACCTAAAGTTATCTTACCATTCAATTAAAATTTGAAAGAGCTATTAAGAAAATTGACATACCTCTAATTCTTCCTAATAAAATTGACAAAGGACGTCATAGACCTAGTTATATAGCATCTAGATTACTGAGGAACATGAGTCACTGGTAGACGATAGTTAGAGTATGCCAATTATTGGATGCTATGGTAGGCTGTAAAAGGATATAAGATGGAAGTATGACACGGAAAGCGAGAATCAGTCCATGTAAGTTTGAAACTTGGTTGATCAAACACCTGACCTTAAAACTGTAAGTGTTAGTGAATCTTCAAGAAGATAACCGATACAGATTAAAAAAAACACATAGTTAATCCAAGATAGGTTGTGAAGTATGTGTAAGCTTATGAAGTTCATTTATGATTTGAAACAAACATCTCAAAAAATGGAATCTTCTTTTTTAATTAGAAAAATCAAGGAGATTGAATCCTGAGAAACGAAGGTGGACCGTAAGTATGTCAAAAGATAGTGGGAGTAATTGGAATCCGTGTTTCAATGATAGAATTCAAGGAGTTTGAATTTTGAGAAACAAAGATAAGCCATATAT